AAATCGAACTAAAATCCGGCTCCTGAAATAAAAATCCTTCATAAAATAGTTGGAAAACTCGAAGTATTAATTTTGAGATCGACAACTAAATGACATCTTCGAATCGCAAAACTAACCCAGTCGTCGTAATGACCTGTATGTGCAGTGCACAACTGTACTGGCACTACCAAACGACTGCTACCTAACATGCTACAGAAAGGTGTTTTATTTAAAACAGCAATTAAGATTTGCAATTAAACCTAACCATACAGTTTTCTACTCACATTATGTAATTCCTATGTCTCGGCGACTAAACAGACACGGGTGTCAACGCTTATCGAATACAATCACCGAAGCGGAACTACGCTACAAAACACAATCACAACGTAGGACTGGTACCCGGCGTAATGTTTTTACAGGTGTACACATGTAACGGTGACCGCCGCCTAATTAATCAATTAATGCGGCAAACAATGGGGATAATTATCAACGAGGTACTAAGGGTAGCTTCTATATAATGGATTACTTCAGTGACTATGTGTGTCAGCGTGATAGTGATTATTGAGAGTGTATGACGGTGTTAACCATTGCTAATGTAGCCGTACTAGAAAGATTCACGAACTCACGATTGACAGACGTGTAAACAGACGTAAACAGTGATGTTGGTGCTTGAAAACCATACTGAATTTGTTTTAATTTGAGTACTTCTGTAATATATGTTGTACTCGTAAATATTTATTTACGGAGTGTTCATGCCAACACAGTGAAGCACTGTCTCAGTGAGACATTTTGTACATGCGCAATACAAACTTCCTGTTCATCTATACACGTGTGTCGGTGTTGTTGAAAACGTAAGTTTAAATGGCCAGTGCTTTCTTTCGTTGTGTAAAATATGTATTCCATGTATGTGTAATGCTGAAATGTTTACTTTAAAAAGTGGAAAAAATTTGAAAATTTGACTATGTTGTATCGTTTTTCTTTCACAAGGTTCAGCAATCAAGCATATAGACGATAAGTCTTTGGTTTCTTGTACTAACAAAACAAAACTTTTGCCTAGATTTATAAAAACCGAATTATGAACAACAGAACGAAATATAGATAAAAAATAGTTATTTTGCAAATTCACATGACGTTTCACCGAACTTTCATCAGTGACGGGACAAATTGAACACTTATATTTATGCTGACCAACCTTTGCACCAAACCTGTAATCTCGGTTAATTCGAAACCTCGGATAACTCGAAGTTTTTTCGTGGTCCGGTCGAGTTCGAGTTAACGAGGTTCGACTGTAGTTAAGTCGTTATTACGAGATACTATGTCGTTATAACGACATTATCTTTTTTCCAAGTGACCCTAACTGGCTTCCGTCATTAACTCTAGTGAAAGAATTACCATGAATTAAAATTGAACTATACACTTATATATTATTATATTATTATTATATATATTATTATGGTTATAAGTGTTGTAACATTGGGATACACCATGGGGAAAAGATTTAGTCCCGGGGAACCAGAAACTAGTATTATCCTCATATAACAATACTTAAACTTTTTCATTATACCGACACAAACAACGCGAGGATTAAAAACTTAAAACTTCTTTATATCTTATGACAAGTATAAATTTAACTGTAAAATACGATAAACATGTTTCAATACAGTGCACTTATTTAATATGCAATTCTTGCTTCAATGACATTTGACGTCAATTACTTTTGCTGCAGTATTGCATATTTCATGTTGCGATGCTCTGATTGGTTAATAAACGCATCAGTCCTGGTATTTTCTACAACAACTGGGAACAACCAAAGGAGTAAGACATTTTCTACACACTCCCCCCCCCCCCCCCCCCCCCTCTTATGACTTAGAAAATGACTATAACTCATCAGTTGGACGTATCAGGGTTGTAGTTGATTTACATGTATACTCTTTATATGGTAATTTTATGTAGAGAGTGAATACAAATACATAACGCAAAATCTTCCTGTATTGTTAAACAACATGTACAACCGAGTCTTAGTATTGATACCCTCTAAAGCAGAATAGTTCGATCTACAGTATTAAGAAAGTTTCTTAGCGTACCTTTTCTTCTTCCAGAACCTTTATCAGACTTTCGTCTACACCTCTTTTTCGTAGAAACTCAATATGAGAGTATTTCTTCTCTTCTTCAGTCATGATTCCTTAAATGTATCAAACAATATAACTTTAGAGTATGTTTATGAGTGTCGAATAATCCACCCTACATGAAAATATAACACCAAAGTATTGAAAATATTTACATGAGTCAAAAAAGCGCACCGAAGATTGGTTTATATTTGAACAAATCAGTTAATAAGGAACAAAAATGTGACATGACGCCATATCATTGTTTTTCTATTGTGTTATCATGTCCATGTAAGATCGATAGACGCTAGTAATGGTTTGGGATGTGTACATGTAGATTACCTCAGGAGTGTCGATGTATTGTAATTCATTTTCCAGTCGAACTGATTAATTGTTCATTTATGCTTGTATTTATGTGACGAAATTCTATCTTACTTGATCATTATGGTATTACGTTCATACAGAGTAACGTTTGCAAAGGTGCAAAGGTATGATAAAACTGACTAACATACCAAATCACATTTAATATATTTCAATTATATTTATTGACGTGTTTTCTTTATCTTCTCACCGCTGTAGTGATGTAAACCACGATGGATGGTGGATGCCGCATATTCTACAAACTCTAAGTAGACTCCAACGATGCAACCGAACACTGTTTTTCGAATTATATAAGTACACGAGAAAGTCATCATTTGATGCTTCTTGAATACATGCGCAAAATAAATATAAGCTTGCGGAAAAAAAATATTGTGTATTTTGTTGCTTTCAAACCAGCCATGAAGTAGCCACTTAATAAGCTCACTTTGCTGTTCTTAGTACTTTTATTATACCAGTTTTGACCAGAGACTCTTCCTCCACTCCCACTTTATGTAGGCCATATCTACATGTCAAGTCATGTCATGTCCATAGATGTATATGATAATCAAATTGCAGGTGGTGGGGTAGGGAAAGGGGTTAGGGTGGTCCAACCTTCTGTTATTTTTTTTACGATTATATGTAATTAGGTTTTACTACAAATACTTAATTAACGTAAGATGTATATACCGCCTCGAAAAATTGTTAATGAAGATCAATACATTTGCACAAATATTTGGATTCTTATAAACTCAGAGGTCAATTATATGACTCTTTCAAAATAATTACCAAGTATACTTGCAACAGACTTACCAGCTCTGCTCAGCTCTGTGACCCAGACTGATCTACGTTTCGGCTGAGACTGCACTATCTCAAAATTTCGAGTTACTATCTCAAAATTTCGAGTTACTATGTCGAAATTTCGACTTACTATCTCAAAATTTCGACTTATTATCTCAAAATTTCGACTTACTATCTCAAAATTTCAAGTTACTATCTCGAAATTTCGACTTACTATCTCGAAATTTCGGGTTACTATCTCAAAATTTCGAGTTATTATCTCGAAATTTCGAGTTATTATCCCGAAATTTCGACTTACTATCTCAAAATTTCGACTTACTATCTCGAAATTTCGGGTTACTATCTCGAAATTGCGACTTACTATCTCGAAATTTCGAGTTACTATCTCAAAATTTCGAGTTACTATCTCGAAATTTCGAGTTAAAAATAAAATCAGCGTGGCCGGAATACGCTTCCGTAGAAACTGCATTGCACGGAAGTGTATTCCGGCCACGTTGTGTTTTATTTTAACTTGAAATTTCGAGATAGCAACTCGAAATTTTGAGATAGTAAGTCGAAATTTCGAGATAGTAAGTCGAAATTTCGAGTTAGTAAGTCGAAATTTCGGATTACTAACTCGAAATTTCGGGTTACTATCTCAAAATTTCGGGTTAGTATCTCACAATTTCGACTTACTAACTCGAAATTTCGACTTACTATCTCGAAATTTCGACTTACTGTCTCAAAATTTCGGGTTACTATCTCAAAATTTCGGATTACTAACTCGAAATTTCGACTTACTATCTCAAAATTTCGGGTTAGTATCTCAAAATTTCGAGATGCTATCTCGAAATTTCGTGTTAAAATAAAACACAACGTGGCCTGAATACGCTTCCGTAGCATTGCATATATACGAATGAAATATATAGAATGGGTATTCTCCTACTGACAACATTATTTTTAACAACGTGATCGTGTTGTTTTAGGAAACAATGGCAAGGCAGTTAGATACTGTTTCATGTAAGCTATCCTTTTCTTCCTGGATTTTTACCTGGGATTTACCTGTGTTTCTCACACCCTATCTTCATATGACTGAGATATTAAACTAAATATTTGGATTTTATTTTTAATGACTGATATTGAATAATTAAGTTTTACTTCAATCAACACTAAAACATATATAGATAAATAGAATTATTATGATGGGTGATTTAGCATTACACCTTAACATATTTCTTAAATCATTTTAATATAAGGAGAAAAGTATATGTAGACTATAGATAATTGAATAAAAAAAAAAACATTGATTTAAACTCCAATGATAGTTGATTTTCACATAGTGAGAGCAATGTTCCATTTTCACCTAAAAATGACACAACTACTTTTTAATTCAGATTTGTCAAAGTTATATCATTGTGTTGGAATGTTTCTATACTTGATAGCCAGAGGCATACATTTGGAAATTTATACAAATTTTGTTTTTATTTCACATTGAAGTCGTCAAAATACTCGTTTTGTTAAAAACATTTGTAAGACTATGAAGAATATTCATGTGTAAGTTTCAATTAAAGATTGACATAACTAATTTTCATCTGAAGTTTTTTTTTAATTATGTATTTGTAACGGAGAAATGTAAAATTTACTGATCAAAGGCATACATTTTGGAATTTTTGTCTACAAAACGATGTATTAATATTTTACTGAAATGCCACGATAGAATTTATAGTAAAAAGAAGATCGTTCGCCTGGAGCGACAAATCCGCGTATGCGCGATGCGATATGGCCTTAATGGCTGCATGTGTTTTTGCCAATCTTATTGAGACAAGAATGGTAACTGTTTAATTTTTAACAATATTAAATTATCGATTAGGTGCAACATTATGATATTTTTTATAGAAGTAGAGACTTTGACGTTCCCGCTCTCAAATGACAGGAAATCATACGGGAGAGGTTATATAATAAAACGGTCATCGACCTGTTTTTCGGTGACTATAATGACATTTTAATCTAAGAAAGTGAGATCTCTCTCAACTTTCTGTCTCAGGAAATATCTCTTTCTCAGGTTGATAAATCATATTGTTATACCTTTACTGTTAATACTTTTCTGTAATGAATTAATCTGCAATTCCAGATGTTTGCCTCAAAACTACGGTTACTGATCAACATCTTGCTGCTGACTGCTTACGTGACAGCTTATTAATGTTCGGTACTTTCCGGTTGTTACTTCGTCATTGATTACGTCAACTTCCGGCCCGATGTTTACCACTTTACATGTCGTCTGCCGTCATGGACAGTTTAGTCCTCTGGTATAACAAAACACGTGTTGACCTCAAAACCAGTCAACAAATGTACAATATTGCATGCAGGGCAATGAACCTTAAAGATTTTTTCCAAAGTATGAACAGAAATGCTGTTTCAAAAGAAGGTAATGTTTCTGAGAGTTATGAGTTCCCTGTTTGAACAATGCGTTCATAGCGTTTATCACTGATCTGCTTCTACAGAGGACACGCGAATATATAGCAATGTTTGATCTATAAATATAGATGAGTCAACTAATGAATCGAACTGCCTCCAGGGCTTATCGATATCTACAATAGCCCATACTGTTATTCTGCTCTTTTGTTTTCTTTTTTAAAAGTTGGTCTGCTGTCATGAAATACATGTTATAATTTTGTTAACCTTCACCTACGCTACCATATATTTCCTGTTATGCATTGATATATTACTTACTGTCTAGAGGTGCAATATTTGACTTTGTCATTACACAATAAATTAATTTAAAATTTAATTGAAACGTAAAGTCTTACTTAATCAAGAGAATTTAATGATAAACCGATCTGTTATATTCATGCTTAACGACATATTCTGTCACCCTGACAGATTGACGCATGCAAATCACAAACAAAATGTATCAATTTAAATGTTTGATTTGATCTGTAATTAGGGTTACAGTGTAGAATGAACAGTTACAGTGTACTGTAGTGGCACCGATCAGAAAAATAATGGAGAAAAAGAAATGCCCCATGTGTTGCTGGATACGTTTGGACATCTGCATTCTATACATTATTTTGATGGTGAGTACTTCAAAATTCTCTGTTTACTAGTTTCATATAATTCCAATTCGGTTTGTATCGACAATTCCTCACTTCCTGTTGTGTCTATTAATTTTGTTTCCTGTCATCTTTACTTCTCTATATTGTCTTTTCCGCTTATGTTGATTTTGTTGTCATTTTAGATATAAACTTCATTTATTTTTTAATTATTTCGAAACAAGCTATCGCCTTATATTAATCACTCTTGATGGCAAAGATCAAAGCGCGCGGGGGTGGTATTGGGTAAGAAACCGGGGTACCCAGGTGGTCAGCAGGTAACCTCCATACCTTTTCACGTCCATTCTGGAAATCGAACCCCAGACTTCTCGGTGAACGACGACTGCGCTATCACTGTGCCACCCTTCCATCCAATGCATGATGTATGTGGGATATCTAGTTAACGTTTATTGATTATTTCGACCTCGATATACAATATAAATATTTAGCCCTCACATTTATCATGACAACCGATCGTGACAACAATCTACTAAAATTGACGTCTTACATGAAACTTGCATCTCAAAATGTCATACAATTTAAATTTGTTATTGTTTGATATTATTTAACACTGTCCGGTCAGTTTTAATATAATCAAACCAACAACCACATTTAACAATTCTAACTGTAGCTGACTTGTCAGCTGGTACAGGTACTCTCTAACACTGTAACACATTGTGACGTCATCGGAATGTATAAATGTCAATGACATATTTTATTTGAATATTTTAACGATCAATAGAGTGATACACAACACCATCTCCTATGTAGTTGTCCTTTACAACGAGTACATTGGTGAGACGGACTTAGATCCTCTTCGAAACACTTTTCAAATCCTTCATGTCTTCCTCTTTCTGTCTTTCGTTTTCAACTTTCGGTGCTTTTGTTGACATCCGTCTTCATACGACCCTGACTGTGGAGAGGACGTTAAAGCCCGTATTAAACAGAGGAGAATTATAAGTAGTCTATGATTACCAGAATAAATCACACGACATATAATACTTCACTAACCGGGTTCCGTATTTTCCCGTCAAAGAGTTACCACACAACTGCAAATCTGGAGCGTACATACATGTATCATTATATACAATATATACAAATATCGTTCTAATTATTGTAAAATCAAACTATTTTCATATTCTAAAAAAAAAATTTAAACAGCAAACATGTGCTTCAAAAAGTCTTCAACACCGTGACATTGTACTCTTGGCAAACGTTTACCTATGTACTGTCATCCAGCTTATTTTTCTCAAAACTGATCATGATATCGTGCAATGCTTTCCCCATAAATGCTTTCATTTCCTTAAATTCAGTTCTGGATATACAGAAGTACTTATCGTTTTATTCATATCTACATAAACGGCGTAAAATATGTGACTGGAAATGCAGAAGTGCATAAGTGAAGAGGTAATTTCATGAAAGTGATATTTACTTGTCACATCTTAGGATAGTGGGGGCAGAGTATTCAGGACAATTATATGGCGTTAACGACACAGTAAAGTGACATCAATTTGAATAGCGTCACTTTTACAATCAATACCAGGAGATAACAAAATATCATGTGTAGAATTGTATTACAGGAGCGCAAAACATGAATAATAATTTTTCCCCTTGACGGAAATATAGGTAGGATAATTTCAACTTGAAAAAAGATTATTAACTTGGCAATCACTCGGCAACAATCGTGTTCGCAGCTTGATAATCTTATCCATGAATTGAAATCAGCATGTCTTACTTTAAAGAAGCTGAAAGATTATGTTAACCTTTTTATTTATTGTTATCTTTATAGTATACCGACAGTATACATGGAAGCCATAAAACGTTGAGAGTCAGAGAAGAAAATACTACAACTATTAATGAGACCTCGTCGACATCCAATGGTACAAATGAGACTGTTTCATCTGTCACTTTAGACCAAGTAAACCCCATACCACAGACTGAGAAACTCTTAACGACATCTATGTCGACATCTGGAGGCGAACATCCCGGAGACGGCAACACCACAGAGGTTAGGAGTGATCTAGAAACAATTTTCGTCGATCCCGCAACAAGCATGATCGGTAAGTTTATTCAACAACAGACAGATGAACGCATCATCGGTGGACATGGTTCAGGTATTTGACCAGCAGTAGAACATATATATTGTAATCCGATATCCAATTCAAGAAGAAAACTATATAACGTACATCCACTTATTTTCGTGAGGATAATATTTTCTGCTATTTTACTTTACATTAAACTTATCTTGAAAAATCTAATCTGTGGAATAACGAGACACTTGCGTAATAGATGTTTTTCTACGTCCAGATCGCGAAATTTCAATTAAAAAAGCACAATATGGTTAAATCGTGTTGAGTAAAAATCGTGAAAATTTTGACCCGTGAAAATTATAAGATTTACAGTATAAGGTTATAGTATTTGTTATCCTTGAAATCACCATGAAATATCTTAATGAACAAGAATAGCACCTTACAAATGTATTACTTGTTTTATGTTATGCGATATAATATGTAGGAGCACTGATGAAAAATACGTTATATATATATATATTCTGCTTTATACTAACAGTATTGGTACAAAAGACACATGTGTTAAAAAGTCCTTTAAATTCAAATTTGAAGTTAGAAAAAGTGGAGTTCACTGCATCAAACAGCTGTTTAGTACTTCTAGGACTCGGAAGTGATGTTTAATTTCAACTTGACCAAGATTTACATGGTGGGTGTCGTCGATGAAGCAGAGGACGCATACCCTCCCAGAACACATGGTCTTATTCTCCTTATCCCTTTTCAGTGTAAATCGTTATCTTGCGCATGGTTTCACCGAAGTTCAGTTCTAACTAAGATTCTGTTGACATATCAGTATATGTTTTTTTCTTCTAGTTGACATGGGAACCCACGGTAACCCGGATGTTAGTAACGGCCGACTACTTACAGACGTCGCGATGAATTCGCCAATGTTTCAATCAAAACCAACTGCAACTGTAACAGCAATTAAGACAACTTCCGGTGATGTAATCTATACCGAGTTTGGCGGGCTTCTCAAGAATCTGACATCAAACCTAAAACGACAGAGCAGGTTTTCATCAGAAGATACAATGTCACGTGTTATCAAAGCGACTATAGACAAACTTAAAACAAAATACGACATTGATATTTCCCGCTCTGGACATAGTATTAGTCGGAATCAGCAACAGCCAGAACTATTACTGCAGGAACTTTTCCCAAATGAACGAGGGCAAAGCCAGTCTGAAATTTCTTCTGATATGCAAGGCAGCCGTTCTGATGTTACCAATATGAAGGATGTAAGCGAACTTCCATTTCATAGTCCGGTTGGAAAATCTGGTTTAAATTCCATGAACAAGTTGTTTCCTTCTGAGAGACGTACCAGTGGAAGATTTTCTTCTCGATTATATAACACACTATTTCGCATGTTGTTAGGAGTGCAAAAAAATCCAACACCACGACCAACAGAACACAAGAAACACAGTAACCGAAAAATTAAATCGATTGTAAAACAAAATGGCATTCATGAAAAAGTACCAAGGAGACCCCCTTCGGAAAAATCTACCGCAATTTCAAATTTTTTCCCTCAGACATCAAATAAAGAAGTTGTTCCGGAAACATTACAACCAAATCATAAACATGAGCAAAAATCGCGGATGTTTCATGCTAAGCAAAGTTCTACAGGAGAAATAGTTTCAATGAATGTGGACAATTCATCCAACAGTCAACAACTGCTTCCTGATACCAGAAGGACGCCGGAGATATCTAAACCAACAATGAAATCTACACAAGCTGACGTGCCTGTCATAGAACAGACATCCACCAGAGCTAGTGGAAAAGGAACAGCATTAAACAACCAGAAACAAGAATTAGGTCTACCTGGTGACACCGTTACCAACAGGGAAGCTGTTAAAAGCTTTTCAGTGTCATCTAGTCAAATAGGAAATATTCAGTCACTTTCTGCCTCTCCAGATAAGCCTCGCAAAAATGCAAACCCGGATACAGCACAGCTTTCACAATCTGTGAATACCGAAGTTAGACAAATAGATGATCGGATACTGTCTGTTCCTGTTCAGAAAACAGTACATAAGTACAATTCAGAGGGGAAATTAGTAACATTTAACGTGGAAACCTTACCAGATGCTGGGATATTTTCAGGAAATGCAGATATCAATGCTAACGTGTTCAAAAATCCGATATCACAACAAGGAGAAGAATCGCATGCTGTGAAACAACAGGGGCATCAAAAGAAGAAACAATTTCAGAATCAACATACTAAATCAGTACTGAGATATGATACAAATGGGAATGCAGTTACATTTGATGTAGAAACATCACTAGACCCACAAAATAGTATCATCACTGATAATTTTGAAAGTCCAATGTTGCAACAAAATTCAAAACAACAAAAGACAACATTACAGGGTTCGAACTCGCAGCAGCACACTTTGTCAATACCAAAACACGATCCTAATGGTAAAGTAGTCACATTCAACGTTGAAACATCACCAGGCCGAAACGAAGCCCGAGAGAATGACATAAAATCGAACGTGTTCGAAAATCCGGTATCAGAACAATCAAAATCTCTTACGACATTACAACACACAAATAGCAACGTTAAGCCATCGGTATCCAAGACATCTATGAACAGCAATATTGTTGAAAAGATACGAAATCTCCATAATGTATTGCATTCTATCATCAATGAATTTCAGCAACAATATCAAGAACTACACAATACAGAACACCATCATCGAAAGACACAGTCACCATCGTCACAGCTGTCACAAAGCATTCAGGATGTTGATAAAAATCCTCAGTTTCAACAACAACAGCAACAACCTCGACACCAAATGCATGCAGCAAAACAGCAACCACCTGCACGCCATCAACTGCATGCAGAACAAAAACAACAACAACCTCGACACCAAATGCATGCAGCAAAACAGCAACAACCTGCACACCATCAACTGCATGCAGAACAACAGCAACAGCCTGGACGCCATCAACTGCATGTAGAACAAATACAGCAACAACATCCACGCAATCAACTGCATGCTGAACAACAACAACCTGCACGCCATCAATTGCATGCAGAACAACAGCAACAACCTGCACGCCATCAACTGCATGCTGAACAACAACAACCTGCACGCCATCAACTGCATGCTGAACAACAACAACCTGCACGCCATCAATTGCATGCAGAACAACAGCAACAACCTGCACGCCATCAATTGCAAGTAGAACAAAACCAACAACCTGCACGCCATGAACTGCATGTAGAACAAAAACAGCAACAACCTGCACGCCATCAATTGCATGTAGAACAACAACAGCAACAACCTGCACGCCATCAACTGCATGTAGAACAAATACAGCAACAACCTCCACACCATCAACTGCATGCTGAACAACAACAACCTGCACGCCATCAATTGCATGCAGAACAACAACAGCTACAGCTTTCACGCCATCAACTACATGCAGAACAAATACAGCAACAAACTCCAGGCCATCAACTGCATGCAGAACAAATACAGCAACAATCTCCACGCCATCAACTGCATGTAGTACAAATACAGCAACAACCTGCACGCCATCAACTGCATGTAGAACAAAAACAACAACAATCTCTAGGACATCAAGTGCATGCAGAACAAATACAACAACAATCTCCAGGACATCAAGTGCATGTAGAACAACAGCAACCTCAACAAACACTGCATGTAGGCCAACAACAAGAACCTCCAAGCCATCAACTACATGTAGAACAAAAACAGCGACAATCTCCAGGACATCAAGTGCATGTAGAACAACAACAACAACCTGCACGCGTCCAACTACATGTAGAACAAAAACAGCGACAATCTCCACGACATCAAGTGCATGTAGAACAACAACAACAACCTGCACGCGTCCAACTACATGTAGAACAAAAACAACAACAATCTCCACGACATCAAGTGCATGTAGAACAACAGCAACCTCGACACACACTGCATGTAGACCAACAACAACAACAACCTCCACGCCATCAACTACATGTAGAACAAAAACAGCGACAATCTCCACGACATGAAGTGCATGTAGAACAACAACAACAACCTGCACGCGTCCAACTACATGTAGAACAAAAACAGCGACAATCTCCAGGACATCAAGTGCATGTAGAACAAAAACAACAACCTGCACGCCATCAAGTGCATGTAGAACAACAACAACAACCTGCACGCGTCCAACTACATGTAGAACAAAAACAGCGACAATCTCCACGACATCATGTGCATGTAGAACAACAACAACAAAAACCTCCAGGACATGAAGTGCATGTAGAACAAAAACAACAACAACCTCCACACCATCAACTACATGTAGAACAAATACAGCAACAATCTCCAGGACATCAAGTGCATGTAGAACAACAACAACCTGCACGCGTCCAACTGCATGTAGAACAACAACAACCTGCACGCCATCAACTGCATGTAGAACAAAAACAGCGACAATCTCCAGGACATCAAGTGCATGTAGAACAACAACAACAACAACAACCTGCACGCCATCAACTGCATGTAAAACAAAAACAGCAACAACCTCCACACCATCAACTGCATGCAGAACAAAAACAACAACACTCTCCACGACATCAAGTGCATGTAGAACAACAGCAACCTCGACAAACACTGCATGTAGGCCAACAACAAGAACCTCCACGCCATCAACTACATGTAAAACAAAAACAGCGACAATCTCCAGGACATCAAGTGCATGTAGAACAACAACAACAACCTGCACGCGTCCAACTACATGTAGAACAAAAACAACAACAATCTCCACGACATCAAGTGCATGTAGAACAACAGCAACCTCGACACACACTGCATGTAGACCAACAACAACAACATCCACGCCATCAACTACATGTAGAACAAAAACAGCGACAATCTCCTCGACATCAAGTGCATGTAGAACAAAAACAACAACAATCTCCTCGACATCAAGTGCATGTAGAACAACAACAACAACAACAACAACAACAACAACCTCCACGCCATCAACTACATGCAGAACAACAACGTCGACACCAAACAATTCGTGTAGAACAACAACAACAAGTTAATCATCAACTACAACAGCTGCAACAATTTCATATCATGCAACAACAGCAAAAACAACTTCATGCAGGTCAAAAAGAGGAAAAACCTCCACAAGAACAAATTCATACAAATCAACAACAACGAAAACCTACAAACACTCAGATTCATAAAGATCAACAGCAACCGCATCCACACTATCAACATCATAAAGAACAGCAACAATTACAACCTCCACACCAACAACTTCAGAGAAATCAACAAGAAGCAAAACTATCTGACAACCAATTTCCATACCAGAAAGTTCATATAGCGGAACAGGTTCCTCAACCACCGCCACAACTTCATTTTATTCATCAACAGCGACTGAAATTGCATGCAGAACAACAACAACAACAAATTAATGAAAACAAACTTCAGCAGAATCAGGTTCATATAGGTCTACACCCACAACAGCAACGTAAACAACAGCATAAACTTCATATTAATCAACAACAGCGACCGCAGCAGCAGCAACAACTTCATACGAAAGCACAACATCAGCCACAACAACAGCATCAACTTCATACGAAAACACAACAACAGCATCAACCTCCACACCAACAACTTCGTAAAGAACAGTTAAAAATTCCACACCAACAACTTCATATGATACCACATCTCCATTCAAAACAGGAGCAACAACTTCATATTAATCAACATCAGGAACCTAAACAACAGCAACAATCTTCAAACCAACAATACGATATTAATCAACCTCAACCGCATCAAAATATCAATATTGATCAGCAACAAGAAATCATCAATGGCAAGAAATCTCCTCAACAACAGCAGCATCGACTTCATCAAGCCATTGAAAATAAAAAACAATTCGAACAACAACAACTTCAAGAACGTAATTTCAAAAAACAACGTCAACAGCAACATCATCTCCAGCAGCTACAAATAAATCATGTCGATCAACAACAGAAATCAAAGAAACGGCAACGGTTTGGTATTGATCACATTAAGATACAAAACCAATTTTCTGTCAATCAGGGACAATCACAGCAAAAGCAACAAACACATTTAAAGCAACACCAGCAAAAATCGAAGCAACAGTCACAACTTGATATCGATCTCTCTCAACATCAAGCTCAAACTCATCAACATCATAAGCAAACACCCGAGCAACAACATGGCAGTGTTAAACAACTCGATCTATCTCAACTTCAACCGCAAACTCACCAACATCATAAACAAATACCCGCCCAACACCACATTAGAATCAAACAACTCGATCTATCTCAACATCAATTGCAAACTCATCAACATTATAAGCAAACACCCGAGCAACAACACGGCAGTGTTAAACAACTCGATCTATCTCAACTTCAACCGCAAACTCATCAACACCATACACAAGCACCCGAGCAACAACATGGTAGTATCAAACAACTAGATCTGTCTCAACATCAACCACAAACTCATCAACATCATAACGATCGATCTCACAAACATCTACAACAAAGCCATAACGAGAACTCACACAAACAAATGGTATTAAAACAACACGGTGAAAACAAAAGTCAAACTCGTGGTGGAATTTATCATGTTAACAATCGTCAACTCACATTTCCTGTCCCTTCTACTGGTCACGGTAATATAGCCATGCATGTTCAGATTGCAACAGCAAAGTAATGTACGCTGGAATAGGAGGCTAGATTATACGACCAAATCCGAATAATTCTACCCAGATTCAATAATCTATAAAAACTCTGTACTCAACATTTTATCCTTTTAGTAAATACCACCAATAGCTGAAAAGCAGAATCACACAAACTTTTCCATCCTGTATTGAATTACATAAAATATTGAAAAATAGACAACATTATTTATTTCACAACCATTGCATAAAAAGCTTTTCCAAGTTATATTTATCACTGTTGTTGGCCCGAATGGAAGCACGCGAGGGGTCGTACAATGGGAGGTACCAGAGTACCCAGGAAAACCCCACTAAAACAACATCACATAATGAATACATAATATATAAAAGACAAGTCATAAAACAAACGCAGTATTTGCTAAATCATTGCATCTGTAACCATGACTACCGAAACTGGGTTAAGGGCTAAAACACAAGCAAATAGATATAATAGGGATTTATGTCGCGCAAATAAAAATCTAAAGTTGAATTCAAGTATTGATTCGTTTGTGATTTATACCGTACTTTCGTATCTTTTATCAAGATGTCGTATCACATCAGATATTAACTATATTCTTTACGAATGGTTTTATTATATGTTTCTGATACCAGGGTGTTTGTACAGTGAAAATATTTAATTTCGAATTAGTATATATTCCGCAAACCATTGTTAGTTTAAATTTGAAATATTCTTTGAATGCGTAAAAAATATCCATGAATGAAGTCGAAACTCGTCGATATCACGTAAGCGCTGAACACAACGTGAACCGTAAAAGGGAGGTAATTCTAGTCTCATTCAACCAGACGCTTGATATCTTCGTATATTGTTCAAACTGCTTACGCGAGTCTTTTCTCCACTGGAGTACTGCTTTCGGTTTTCGAGCCATCCGAAGATAAAAGGCAACATTTACGAAAAGAACGATAACTCAGTCAGGTCACTGATTTTCATTCCCAAACTCCAGTATCAGGAAAGCTACGCTCTGGTAAAGACAAATGTTCTAAGTACAGTTAAGGAAAACCATAGAGAGTTATTTTTTTCATACAGCGATCCAAAAAGGAAAAAAAACTAAAAGGCAAAAGTCGTATATGGTTATTTTACCATAAAAAGATTATAATGGTAACGTCATAATCTATGATATAGACCAACATCTTTCAGATAACCTAGAATTTTATTAATCTCAACGGTTTCAAAAAGAGGTTTAAGACCGATAAAAAAATCTGGAATAGACAGAAGGTCAATGCAGTACAATAAAAATGTTTAACGGTGAATGACTCCTCACATCCTATGCACCGAGGATTATCTTCGCCTTTCAACATATATGAATGTGTAAGGTATGTATCACCAATCCTAAGGCGAACAAGGACAACTTCGTCTCTATAGCTTGGAGACCATTCAATTTATTAGATGTATATTGACTCCATTCCTCCTGCCACTGAGCTTTTATTTGTTTGATGAATGGTTTGAAATAAGCAAAATAAATTTTAAAAACAACAGGTGGTATCGATAAAGCTTCTTTTGTGGCACGATCTGCATTTTCATTGCCTGGTATTCCCATGTGCCCAGGAACCCAGCAAAAAGTGATGGGAATGTTGAAGGAGAGTGCCTGAAATACTATTAATGTATAACGAATGAAAATATTTTCGATATTGCTATTGCTAAGACTTTGTAGAACAGAAAGAGAGTCTGAATGGATAACAGCTCTCATTACTTTGTTTGAACATATTCAAGGGCGAGGTTGATATATTGAATATTTAGGCGTTGTCCGGTAGCCGGCATCCATATGTTTCATCTTGTGTAACCGTGGCCGCAGCAACCTTATCATTGTCTTTTGATCCATCAGTATATAAATGTAGAAATGTTTTATATCTTAATTGCAAATTCGAGAAGGATTTACGAAAGGTGTAGCTTTCTGTGTCTGATTTCACCATTTCATGAAGTGAAAAGTCATCTTTAGTTGAATTCAAGAGCCATGCTGGAATTTCTATCGTTCCAAATGACTGAATTTGGTCAATACTAATATTTGTGTTTTGTAAAAGAGTGGAAATCGGAATACCGAACGGTGGAATGGTTTTTGGTTTGTTTTGAAACAGGATTTTATATTTTGGATCAAATACAAGTGAAAAAGCAGGATTTGAAGGATTTAGCTGAATGGTGTGTTGCGAAGCCAATTAATTTCGACAGCTATATAGTGATGATTCGTTAGCCTCTACATAGAGGCTTGTTGTAGGTGTGGTCTTAAAAGCTCCGAGAACGAGCCAGAGACCTTGGTGATGAACAGTGTCCAATATTTGGAGATATGAAGATCAAGCAGATCCATACACAATGGAACCGTAGTCTTATTTTGATCTAATAATAGCTCTATAAAGTCTAAGCAAAACTTTTCTATCAGCTCCCACATCAGTGTGGGACACAACCTTTAGAATATTCAGTGCCTTAAGGCATTTGGCTTTAAGGTATTTTAAAAGTGGAAGGAACGATAATTTCCTGTCGAATATTGCACCTAAGAATTTGGTTTGCTCAACAACCGGAATGGGCACACTACAAAGAAATAGATTTGGATCGTCGTGTTGTTGCTGTATTTGACAAAAATGCATGCAAACTGTTTTTGATTGTGAAAATTTAAATCCATTTTCATCTGCCCAAATTTGCAGTCGATTCAAACATTGTTGTTGTTGTCTTTCGATAGTATTTATACGCTTAGATCGATAGTATACAATGCAGTCATCGACATAAAGAGCGCCCTCCATTGAAGGGGATAATGTTTTGACAATACTGTTAATTTGACGTCCAAAATGTTTAAAAAAATCTCCGTTGGTAGTAACTATTCACGACAAATGACACCGCGAGATGTTGTGAAGGTCATGCAACAATTTACCTCAAAATTAAGCTACACGGCGCCGATTTGCGTTTACATACAACTTTCAATTAAGTAAGAGCTGCTGTACTCCTCTCTAGATAGGAGCTAAGCGCCCCCTGGTGGGTACGGTGTGATATGTTCACCCCACAAGCACCATCCTATCACGCTAATGATAATATTGAACTTTTGTTTCTTTTGTTGTTGATTTCTTTCCGTACCGATGGTGTCCACTCTTGACACCTGTCCTCGTATGGAACTGACTGTTAAGAGGACGTTAAACAATGCAGTTATATATTAGATATTTGTACTACAACTTGTATCTCTGTCATACGTATGTTAGAATGACTCACCAAACATAATGCATATATTCTGTATATGATTGCAATTACATTTGTCTGAGTTCATTGTAATTGGTCTGGTATGGCTGACGAAACTCATAAATTAATACTTCAATAAAATTGAACTGAATTTTCTCTATCGATCTTAAAATCTTAGTCATCATATTAAGAACAAAATGTTAAAAATTACTAAATTTTTAACAATACAAAGAATATGGAAATAAGTATATAAAATAGAAGATATCGGTTTTTGATAAGACAATTCAGATTAAAATTATCATGTATGGATTTAGATACAATTTTGTATATATATATTAGATAATAACCATGGATGTTGTATATATATATATATATATATATATAATTATATATATTTCTGAGCCTCAAATCTATATTATGCTGGTTTTTTTTTTCCGTTCGTACATTACGTTCGTTCGTGTTTCTTGATTATTTTTTTCGTTTGAAAAAGTGGTATAAGTTTTCGCGGAGGAAGTATCATCTATTTTAAAAAGAATACATCGATGTCCCTCCCTGAGTTCAAAATTGTTCATTAACATTTCTTTATATAACAAAGGTATCGTCATTTGTACATATCAACACAATATTTATATACACTAAAAATAAATGAAAAAGACAAATACAGTAATGAAAAACAAAGGTATCTTGATGTTTAATATTCCATTAATCAAATTTCATATTTAAAAGTATTGATATAAAAATGACGAAATGTTATGATAATTTGTGTTGAAGGTGCTAATTAAAAAAATAAACGATAACAGTGAAGCAGTGTTTCACGGATAACATAAATAAAAAATAATATGTTGTTTAATTTCAATTTTAAATATGATTTATATTACCAGAATGTAATTATTCATACTGTATTTGGAATGGGGACATAATTAACAGCTGTGTTATCAATGATTTGGTTAATTAAAGACGCTTGCTGTCTGTCTGACACTCACAAATTATCTCCTAATGCATTAGGTTTATTTAAAATTCAAATATACGTCAGAAGATACGATTATGGTGAGCTAATCACTACACAGTAATTTAGATGTAACATAATCAGAGGTTTGGGCTGGGATACGAAATGTTAAACACATAAAGAAGTCTTATGTACAGAACAAGCTCGGAAATGGTTGTAAAATATGGAATAGACTTTAATTCTTCAGAAACTCTAAAAAGGTTAATATGTTTCAAAACAATTATTGACAACAAGACCGGTTATATCAGTTTGTAACAAAGATACCACTGGTCAATCGGACATAAAGAAATGAAATGTTTCAGAATGACGGCACTGTTCTTTGAACAACAGACTGGAATTCGCCATTCGGCATATAATATCACAGAACACGCTATAGTCTCGCGCATGATTAAGTGTTACGTCGTTTTGATTGAGTTCGAATTTTTTTCTTTCATGTTGCTTTTCTCGTGGCACATCGCTGGCAACATGGTTATTCTAAAACACACCTTTAAAGCTCAAAAATTATAAAAAAAAAAAAAAAAACTCGAGTAATTTTGACTAATATCGTGTAAACGATTATCGCTGTTAAAGAAATATCAATAATAGCAAATTACAATGTTTACATATTTCAAGTATTTTGTCTGCGTTTTGTAATATGCTGAATATGTTTTTTAAAACAAACTCGATATCATTATTTAAAAAAGGACATATACAATAAATGTATTTTTTTATTTATACTCTTGTGATATATATTCAAACCCTTTAACACGTACATCATATTTTGATAATGAGTTCTGGCAACATTGTAAATGTATTAATTAAATATCCCATAATGA